TTTTCCGGCAGTGGGATGACTGGCGAGATCGAGGGGCAGGAGGAGGAGATCCAGGAAGAAGCGTGATATTTGCAGGTTCTTGACGAGTATTTATTGCCGAGGTCCTTTTCTAAAAAAAAAATATTGCTGAGGTAATACATACTTTTGTTGGCTCTTTCCTTGTTTTATTTTTATTATTACCGCCAATAGTAGCTAACTAATGCACTTACTTGTACAGTCGTCCTAATTTGCAGGTTCTTTCATCGTCGTAATTAATGGCTGCCTCAAATCTATCTGCAACCATCTTCAACTATTACTCGTCATGGTTTTGGAACGGAGGGAGTATTTCACAGGTACACAGTAATATAAGATCGTTCAGATCACTAAGTAGCTGGGGGTGTATGTACTGATTATAAGAGTAAGCAGTTGGAATTAATTAGATTACGAGTATATCCGTCTACATATTATACATCTCTTTATTTTTCGACCACTGTAGGCAGGTCCAACAGAAATGTTAAGAAGAATCTTACACTTTTTATACTACATGCAACCATATCATACACATGTAAAAGCAAGTCACATCACAGTTATTGTTGCCAGAGGAAGGAAGCTACATTTTATTTAATAAGTGATCTAAGCAATCTTATATTTCTTTACAAGGGAGTACATACATGGCTGCCCTTAGGATTTCTCTTCTTCTTCCACTGTAACGGGAAGGCCCTTACTAAAATAATTACGTACGCCACTAACCCGGATTATATACTACAACAAGCCGGCAAAAGCTAACTGATAGTGCCTTTTACCAAAAGATTGACCAAAATGATCAGGAAGGAACCAACAGACAAAAGGAAGGCTAGCTGAAAATGTTTCAATCTTCTTCAAACAAAAATTATACACCGACAAACCAATCTCAACATCAGGGAGCACCCGCCCGATCTGCTTGAAATTGGTAAGATCTAAATGCATGCCAAATAAGTTTTTCCTGGGTCACCATCCTCCAATCAAAGAGGATCCAAAATAATATCAGCAACACAACACACTACAAGAAAATGCATTTAATCAACTAGCATAAACAACATAATACAGAAACCCTGGGAATTGAACCAACTGCTATGAAAGGACACCTGTTTTTACATTCTCATTCTCATTCTTCACCCATTAATTTCCTCCCAGATGAATGACCAGTAACAAATGTAAAAAAAAAAGGTCCAACTTGAGGACACCAGCTCAAAAATGGGACGCACCCTCTAACTCGACGGCCTACTCGCTCCAAGGCTAACTAAAACCCTGGTAAAACCGAGAGGTCGGCGATCCCCTTGGTCAAGCTCGCAACCTTTTGCAGCAGCGCCAGCCGATTGTTGCGCATCCTCTCATATTCCTGTTCCATGGGCCATCACCATACAAGTGTAATTAGCAAAGGTATAGACATGTGCATATATACACTGTCAAGTGGTAAAATTAAATGAATCGTGCTACATCTTAAAACACATAGATTTGTGCTCACCGCCATGACAAAAACATCGTTGAAGAAATCCTGTCGCTTTGAGAAATGAGAACAGTAGACTTGTGTACCAGAATGGATCTGAGATTAGTGGGGAGACAGGGGTGATGAGGGGGGCGACTGGGGGTGCGACCACCGGGATCCCCGCGGGGCCTCCGCCTGCTCCCTCCGGTGAGCGACGGCGGGTGGGGGGGCGGTTTTGGGCCCTTGCCGATGCCGGCGAGGACGAGGGGGATGAGGAGGCGGATGCGGCGCCGCCATATCCGCCTACACTGACGCCCTCCGATCTGTTGTGTGAGTTCTTGAGTGCAGGTTATGATGAAGATGAGGTCGCCTCCACCGTCGACGAGGTCTTGCCCCTCGATGATCCGGCTAGGGTCGGGCTTCATGCGGGGGAGACCAACGAGATGCTGCGCCGGGTGGTTCACCGGAGAACGGCGGCGACGGCGATCCGGCCGTGGAAGGGCCCCTTGCCTAAGGTACGTCTACCAAACTTAACTGTTTTCGATCTGATTCGGCCGGAATCTTGGACTACGGTGACAAGGATAAAGAGTGCTCGCCGGGCAGGGCCTCGATCGGCGCCGGAGGTGACAGCGGCAGCGTCGCCGGCGGTCACGGTGATCCGGATCAGGGCGGCTTGCCAGGAGCGTCTGAATTCGCTCCTGAGCCGAGTCGAGTTGCGCAATGTTGTTGGGCCGGTGAGTTTTAGTGGGCCGGGATCCATTGGGTATGAGGCCCAGCAGGAACCGGTTCTGCTCGATAACGTGGAAGTCGTGGCATGCACGTTCAGATCGACGTTGCTGTCTCCATCACCGCGCCCTAGGGTTTTTGTTCGTCGGACTCCGCGACGACGCTCTGTTGGGATCGGCCGGGCTCGCCGCATCCTGCCGCCCGGTGCCATGGCGGGGCGTAGTGGAGCTCCGCCGCCCGGAAAGAAACTGGCTGCGCCTGGCGGGGTGAGCCGCGCTGGTGGGCCGCCGATGCCGAGTTCGGGCAGCGGCTGGGGCGTTGCACCCGTGCCGGTGACTGGCGCTGGGCGTGGTGGTGTGTATTCTACTGTGGGCCATGGAGTTGGCGTCTCCGGTGGGACGCCCAATGCTGCGGCGGGTCGGGGCGCTGGCGGGCTGCCTGCTGCTCGTCCGCCGGCGCCGGGTCCGGTGGTCGTGCCTTCGGATGGACGTGGAGGGCCGGTCCTCGGTCCTCGTCCGGTGGCACCCAACATAGCTGGGGGGGGGGGCTGCAGGCTGCGGTACCACGTCGCCCAGGCCACCTGCGGCAGGGAGTCAGTGGATGACGACGGGCACGCAGCCTCGGCCGGCCCCGCCACCTCATTTCGTTGGTGGCCCGCCTCTGAATCGGGCTGCGCCGGTGTTATCGCAGGCACCACCGCCGCAAAACAATGCCGTTGGTGGTGCTTCATCTACGCCCCGGGGTCAATGGGGGGATGACGGTTATAATGCTTATGGAGCTGGTCAGCACCGGGGTTCTTCGTCCACGGGTGGAGGTCGTGGATATGCTTGGCAGAGCGACAGTTCGGCAGGGAGGCCATTTTTTGGTCCAACCGGTGGTTTTGTCGAGGGGCATCTGGCCCGGGATATCGGCAGCGGGGTGGTTTCCGCGGTAATTGTGGTGGTCCTGGCGGTCGAGGGGGCCGGTACCGCCCACGACAACCTCCTCCGACCGTGGTTGTCGAGCAGACGACCGCTGGCGGGACTACCGAGGAGCCAGGGTTGACTGGTTAGGCTATGGAGGTTGTGACGGCTCTCGCTAATGTTCAGGTTCCTGAGAATGAGACTATGGGTGATGTGTCCATGGAAGTGCCGGACATGGCTGATTCAGAGAGGGCGTCCAAGTGGGCAAGCAAGAAGGAGAAAATGCTATGCTATCGTTGTGGCGACAAGGGTCATTTTATTGCTGAGTGTGTGGCTGTGTTATGTGATACTTGTGGTAAGACGGCACATGATTGGGGGAATGCCCGCTTCTGCGAGATCAGGCACCGTCTCTTATGATGTATGGAGTGTTGTGTGCTGAACTCACGTTTTCTGAGTCTCCTAATGAGAGGGAGGTTCCTGATGAGGCCCAGAGCATGACTACTGGGATCGTCAAGGTGACCAGAGGAGAGGTCTCCGAGACCCAGATTGTGCCTGATATCTTGCCATGCATGAACAACATAAGTGCATTGAGGAGGTACCAGATTGCAAAACTATACAGGAGGGATAACACTTCAAAGGGAAGGTACCGAGAGTTCTACCAGTGTGACTTTAACATTGCTGGAGCATACTGAGGTCATCAAATTTTTGACCGAGTTACTGGATAAGCTAGCTATTGGCATATATGAGATAAAACTAAACCACAGGAAGTTGCTTGATGCTAGAGAGCAGTATTTGTCTCCTGAGCAGTAAGTATGCAGTCGCTCGATGAAGATCTGACCGCAGGAGCGAAGCCTTTTTCTTCAGAAACGAACAGTAAAACTGTCAATATCTTGAGGTTCCGTCCCTGAGCTATAAGTGTGTGGAGAGACTCTCGCAGCTTGATCTAAACAAAAGCAGCAGCAATGACAGCCATCAAATTTCCAACCTCTCTGGTAAATTTTAGAAACCAACTACACAGATCGTTCCCTTAAAAGATTGATCGGATTGAATTGGTGTGTGATTGTCAACCAATTAGCACAGAAAGAGAGGGTAGATTGTCTGTCATTAGCGTGAGGGGCAGGCAGCATCTCCGTCCACCATTAATGGTCTGAAGGAGAAAGATTGTCTATCAGGCCTCAAACCTCAAGCTAACTACAGCCAAATGTTGAGAGTCCCGAAAACAGAGGAGAAGGAGAGGAAGCTAACTACACGCAAATGTTCAGACTTCAGAATTATCGGCATAATCGTCAAGGGGTCTCCTCTTCTAGGTAAGCTAACTACAGCTCAGCTACATATCAGCGTGCAGAACTTAACCTCGCTTAAGAAAACAGAGAACAGGAAGCACTGCACATCAAGTAAATTAAGATTCCAGAATTTATCCCAAACAAGTACTAGAATATCTATTGTAGTGCTAAATTTGTGAGAAATAATACTCCGAAGAAGCCAATTAAGTTGACTAGGACCGAAATAACCAAATACATGTCCAGCAACAAACAGAGTAAACTTATTTATTACAGCAGCAAGTCACCATATTTCTTGGAAAGAAAATCGTCCACCATATTGCAGCAGGTCATTAACTTCGATCTGTTACAAACAAGATAAATAAATCCTAGTGGTGACACAACATAAAAGTACCAATGGCGGGGAAGCCACCAAATCGACATGAGAGCAAAGAGACTAAATTATTCGACGCACTTGATCATCTTGATGAATGGCCATCAACCAATAAGCAGCATGTGAGATGGCTTTGCCATTAGCAAGTCGCGGCCTGTACTGCCTGCACAATAGAAGAAGTGGCATTACCAGGATGTGAACTGTGGAGAGGTGAGGAGGAAGCTCAATGCAAGGCAAGTATAGCACAATTCATTACCTGGATGTGTTGATGGTGTCTAGAGAAACAAGATCTTGGGACGTGGACTTGGGAGGTTCTTTGCTGCTTCTTCCCACTCATTTTTTGTTTCATCTCCCACTTCACGATGGAGAACAATCTCCTTAAGATGTCCAAGGGACTGGACCGCTGACGTGCCGGAAATAGAGCCAGACAGATCTTTGCATAGCAGCTGCAGTGACTTGAGGCATGGTAGAGCTCCCTCTTTGATTTCCAGCTGATCCATGGTGGAGTCGACCAGAATGGATAGGCGTCCCAGGGTCTTCAGCATACCTTTTATGATGACAAGCTTGTCCAGTCTAGTTGCAACCAGCTTCAGGTACGCCAGGCTGGGCACTTTGCTCAGGGCAGCAAGGAAGTCTTGGCTCAGGCTCAGCTGAGGGGATGAAAGACCTAGCTTAGTGAGACGACCCAGCAAGGCAACAAAGGGGGGCAGGCTGCATATCTTGCTTCCTTCCAGCTTGAGGGAGCATGAATGCTTTCCTTTCTCCAGAGAGAAATTCAGCATGTCTTGGGTCAACTCACCTTCAAAATTGAGTGATAGTGAAGGGGTCCCTATGAACAGGGTGCTTCTCTCAATGATCCCCTTGATGGCCTTTGAGAGATGACTTGAGATGCTGGTGTCGGCGGTAGCCTCGCACCATATTTTCACCTTTGTCAAAGCCTTCATATTATCCATGAGCTGTGCAAAATCTTGGCTCTTGCTGTTGTCCACAACAAATCCTGCCAGTGTTTCCAATTTGCTATTCTCTAACAACCAACTCTGTAGCTTACTCATTCTCCAGTCTCCTAGATCTTTCTTGAGCTTGAACTTCCCAAAGAGATGAACAAGACGTGGCAGCTCCATGACTTGCGTTGGCAGAATCTCTATCTTTGTTTTACTTACATCCAGTGTATCCAATAATTGAAGCTTCCTGATCTCCTTGGGAAGCACCGTGGCAATAACTGCAGCCCCGAGGCATAGGTACCTCAGCAGCAACAGTTTTCTGCATATCAACTTGAGATGGCCATCCTCCAAGGGTACAACGCACTTTTCCAGATCCAAAACTCGCAGCAGTTCATACTTGGAGAAGTCCAGGACAGATGGGTGCGCCTCTCCCAAGATTGTCAGTGACCGAACAAGAGTTAAACCTGGCACTTCTCTTGGCCTTGCATGATGCAGAGCAAGCCGGCGGATATTATTGGGTAGGCGAGAGGTAGACTGCCCATCATACAACACGGTAACGAAGTTGTCGGACATGGACTTGCGCAGGACGAACTCCAGCATCATGCCATGGGTATGACATGTCTTCACCTCTGTGTTGTTACCGCTGGCTTCCATTGGCTGGATGATGCTCCAATCAACAAGCTTATTGAAATTGCTAATGGCGGCATCAACATCACTATATGTATTGTCTCCTGGGGACAAGCCTTCTGCTAACCATCTCCTTAACAAGCTCGATTTCTTGATAGGACGACCACTTGGGTAGGTACTCAAATAGAGCAAGAATGTCCTGGCGACCTGGCTATCAAGGCTGGTGTAGCTCTGGACAAGCACACGCCTCATTCTTGCAAATAGATCATCACTCTCCATATGTGTACCCAGGTTGGCGCATAGTTTTGCCCATAACATGGGTGTTGGATTACCTGCGCTTTTCAAGAACCTGGCGGTGGTAACAAGAGCAAGGGGAAGACCATCACATTTCTTGAGCGCTGCATAGCCGAGGTCATCCACATGCTGCGGCTGTTCATCGTCTTGGAAAGCTTCATTGAAGAACAATATTCTTGAGTCTTGGTCGGTAAGAGTTGCCATTGTGTATACATGATAATTAACAGATGAGCTGCGACAGATATTTGCTACGGGCTGAATGACCGTCGTCACCAGAAATCTGCCATTTAAACCGACAAAGGCTGCTTTCATGTTGTGCCAATATGCTGTTGTCCGCAGGTCATCAATTACAATAAAGAACCTAGGTACCAAAATAAACATTACAAACTAATCAGGCAAGGATTACATCGATAGAGAAAGCTAGCAGATCGAGAAAAAGAGATGGGAAACTGAATGAATGAGTTACCTCTTGTTGCCAATGCACTCTCTGATGCTCGCGTGAAGCAAGGTGAGAGTGAGACTGCCATTGGTTGGCAGGGGAAGGTGGCCAAGCTGCTTGAGTATCTCCTTGAGAACATCCGCTGCTGTCCTCCTCCCCCCTTGGACCCAAGCCCGTACTTCATATTGGCTCTCAATTGCCTTGGAGTTGTACAGATGATTGGCAAGGAGAGTCTTGCCCATGCCATGGAAACCCACAATGGTAATCACCTTAAGCTGTTGCTCCTGCTGGATCAGATCCATAAGCTCGCCACGGGGACCGTCGATACCCACAGGAACGGCGATGGAAGCTGATGAATGGGTGTCATCGTCATCATCCTGAACCGCTGTCGGCGCGTCTGTCTGCTCAGACGACAACGACCACCTTGGTGAGGAACTGCTGCTGCTGTTGTTGCAGTATTTTTCTCTCAGCTTGGAAGCATCTTCTGATCTATTCTTCAGCGTCCGGATCTCCGCAGCAAACTTGCCGCGGGTCTTCGCCGTCTTCACCCGGTGGAGAGCCCGGCTGAGCCTCCCTTTTTCCGAGTCAGCCATTGTCACACTGTGCATGAAGCGGTCGATGCAGTCTTCTATGGCGTGCGCCAATTCACGCACAATATTGATCCACTCCGTATGCACTTGTTCACTGCTGCTGCGGCAGCCACCACGGCTATCATCATCCTTGATGACAGCAGAAATCATAGCAAACTCATGCTTGATGTAGATGATGTCATTCTTTAGGTTCTTCCGAAGCTCATGATTTGCATGTAAGAAATCAAAGAGCTTCGGCACCATCCACTCCACAAATGAGGTGGCCGCGGCCGCGGCCACAGCCTCCATCTCTCTCTCTCTCTCTCTCTCTCTCTC